CGCGCGGGCCGGCCGCAGGGAAGCCACCGCCTGCACCTGGCAGCCGGGGGCAAGAACAGCTCTCCTGAACTGGGGGTGACTGGGGAACGATCAACAAGTGTGGGCACAGGAGGTGCAGCTGCAAGCAAGACATGACTCCATGGCACCCCATCTCGGTGCTCAGTGGCCCCCAGGCTAAAGCAGGCAGTTACCAGCACCCGGGTGGGGAGAAAATGCCAACAATTCCACACACACACAAGGTGGGGGAGCAGCAACCTTGTCTGGGAGTACTGGGGCAGCATCCTGGCACTCCAAGAACAAGTGTTTTGTGACTTTGTTAAAGTGGGGGCTGTTGTATCGACAAAAAATAAAAGGAAAACAAAAAGAGTGAGCTGGGCAACTCCTCCCATTGCCCCAGCCTCAGTGGCTGGAGGCTTTGGAACAGCTTCTGCAAGAAAGTGGTAAAAGAAAGGCTTGGAGGTAAATGGAAAATAAGATAAAGTATCTAACAGGTTTACTAAAGATAGAGCATGCCAGCCTAACCCGATATCCTTCTTTGATAAGTAATATTCTAGACAAAGAAAATGCAGTAGATTTTATCTCTCCTGACTTCAGTGAAGCATTTGATGTGGTGCTACATGGGAAACTGCTAGCCAGGCTGAAGACCACAGTGATTAAAACCCTGCAGCCATTAGCAGTGGTGAATGGAAGTGCCTTGCACCACGTGTGGTTACCCAGGCATTGCCTGAGGGGCTGGGACCAAGCCTGTGTGCTGTTTCTAATAGTCACCTTGACACAAGTTGAAGGAAATGCCATCAAAACAGAAAAGGAACAGGACATTGGACAAAAAAACCCCAGTGACCTCAAAGCAGCAGTGGGCAAGGATTCAGTGATGCAGAGCAATAGTCACACCTGAGGATTCAGAGGAGGTTCTACTTGTTGCTGAAAACCACTAACACAAGAAGGGCCTCTGAGGATGAACTGAGGACAGGCAGACAGGGTTGCCTCAGGCACGGGACAGAGCACCCAGCCAGGACGGCTGTGTGGCCCTGCTGGCAGAGCTCAGGCTTCAGGAGGGGTCTCATGCACTATGTGTCCCACAGGATTTGAAGATGGGGTGCTTGTTGTAAGCCTGTACCTCTGCAGCTCCTACTGAGTTTAGCTACTGCATTTGGGCATGAAGAAGCTAGATGGGATGCTAGGACCTTGCTGTTTGCCCTTGACCATACATCCCCTCCTCCTGCTAGCGTTATTTCTGCAAGAACAAAGATAAAATAGTTCCTAGAAAACTGATCTCCCTTGGGCAGGGTGAGAGAACTGCAGAAATGGGGAAGAGCACAACCCCAAGAGCAGTGCTGCCGTAAGTCACCTGCCAGACAGGGCTAACCCATATAAATGCTGCGTTTGACAAAGGAACGAAGCCTTGATTTCTGCTGCGTGACCCATCCCTGCGGCTGGGTGCAGCCTGAGCATGCTCACACACTCCTTACCAGAAGGCATCTGCTTTGCTGAAAAGAGGGTGGTCTGGAAACTCGCCAGCACCCGTCGCCCGTGCAGGTTCTGCACCGGCCGGTAGTTGTTCTGCAGAGGTTGGCTGTCATCGCTTCTCAGGGTCATCACCAGCACTGACATCTGGAAGGGGAACAGTGTGAGCAGAGCGGGGTGCATCCCACCTTTGGGAGCCACGCAAGCCCAGGGGGACCGGCGTGGATGGTGCACGCTGCAAGAGCCAAAGTGGGGCTCGTTGCCCTGACGGACCTGGCTGTGGGAAAGCAGCATGGTCTGGTTGAAGACTGTCCACTTCACAGTCTGGTAGCAGGGAGGAGTAGTCAGAGAGCCGTTGTACTGGAAGTAGAGTTTCAGGTTGGCAGGCAGCAGACCTGCAATGTTGAATCCAGGCACCAAGACTTCCTCGCCTAGAAGAAACACCATTGGACTGAGTGGCAGGAGAGCAGCCCCTTTGAGGACACAGCACAGGACCAGCATGGAGTTCATGGGCAGCCTGGCACTGCATGTGCCAGGTGCCACACTGCTGCCACTGTTGCAGTGGAGAAAAAGCAGTGGGTTCGCCCTGGAGGCAAGGAAAGCACGTGTGAGCAGAGGGCACCTTGTAGAGCTGTTTCTATACAAGCTGTGCAATGCTCCCCTTCTCACATACACACAGCAAACACCTAATGCAGCCTCTCTCCTGTGCAATGGGTTTCCCTGCTGGGCTGCAGCCCCTGGGACAAGTATTAGGTGGGACAGAGCCTTACCTTCGCTTTGGATTTTGTAGAGATGCTCAAGTATCTCCTGATAGTATGGGTTCTCCCTTGGCCCAACCTGCAACACAGAGAACCCACAGTAATGACAAAGACAGGGGCCAAATGGAGACTGGCCAGTGATGGCAGTGCCAGCAGGGAGGTATCACTCCCTGAGAGGTGCCCTCTCCCAGTGGCCCCTTCCTCCTACCAAGGCTGCTCTGCCCTCTGAACTACCCTCTCTCTCTCCACTTCTCCCCAGGAGTATTTCCACCCTTGCCAGTCCTCAAAACTGTGCCAACTCTGCCCACCCCAGTCTCACCCTTCCCCTGCTCCTACTTCTTCTCACCCAGGGCTGATCTATGAGACTCACCTCCAGGAAGGCTCCCAGTACAGCCAGGCCATCTGGATGGACCATTGCCTCCTTAAAGCTGTCATACTTGGTGTTATAGTGGACCACGTGGATCTGGAAGGGAAACATGCAATCCTCATGCAGGATGGGCACCTTCAGGAAGTGCGCACCCCCAAAGAGCTCTACCCTGCCAGAGCAAGGGCTGGGAGACACATGCACCCATGATGAGCACCTCTCCTTGCAGGGGAACAATGTGGTGGGACTGAGAAATTACTCTGCTGCAAAGCAGAAAAAGCATGAAGGTCTGCCTGCAGGAACTTCCCCAGTCAGGGAGAGCAAACCAGCACTCTGCCCTAGATACTGTGGGGTCGTACTGCAGAGCTGGGCTCAGTTTGAGGACAGCATCTAGAGAAGGAGGGATAAAACCAGATGGGAGCTGGCAGAGCAGGAGGGCAGTGTGTACAGAGTAAACAGTCCCTGCAGCTCCCAAAGCAGACTGCTCACAGCCACCCAGGAAGCCGGCTCCCCCAGCCCAGGGACAGCCATGGCTCCTGCTCCATCAGCCCAGGACCAGGCTGCACCACTCACACAGGCACTGCGTCCTGGAGGGTGGTCTCCTCCTCACCACTCCACCACAGGCTGCATGCGAGTCTGGCTCAGCACCAAAGCGTGGCCTCCTACGCTCCACTCTGCTGCTGCAGAGCTGCCTGGGGAGCAGGGACCCTGGCCAGGGCTTGCAGCATTCATCCAGTGCCAACCAGGAGCATGGGCTAGGAGCAAGACAGCATGCCAGCACCTTCACTGCCCAGCGCTGGGGGAGGAGAGGAGGCACCCAGCACCACGAGGGCTCCTTACCTCAGCAGCGAAGCGGCGCCCGTTGACAGTGTGCTCCGAGCCGGGTCCCGACAGGGAGCCCCAGTGCAGGTGCAGTTGCACGGCTCGGTACTGCTGGGTATAGCCGCCAGTGATGGCCAGGGACTCGGGCAGGTCAAGCTGAACTGCAGAGGTGGAAGAGGTTGGTCAGTGAAACGCAAAGCCCAGTCCATCCCACAGGTGTGCAGTGGAGATGTCTCCACGG